CAAGCTTTTATTTGTAAAATTGATTAAATTAAAATGTTTTCGAAATAATTAAAATTAATAAAACTATATTCATTTGATATACTCCCAATTTTTCCAACAAAATTCCGATTCTTTTGGCTTTTTAAAAACTCTATAGAAAGCTTAGACGAAGTTACAAATGCACAATTTGATGTTCATGTAACTTTAGAAAAAACTAGAATCCTTTTCTAACGGAGGTGAAAAGGGGGCAATATGATGTTCAAAAGAGTGTCCTTTCACATTGTAATCTATCATCATCCCTTGCTTTAGAGACTAGAATATCTCAAAATGGAGAGAATGGTTTTGGTGAAATCTAATAATCACATTGTTGAGTTTTTTTAGATGGATCACCGCATTCATATCACAAACCAGTGAGTTAGCGTAACGATCATATCATATTGGTTACAACTAGTAGTTCTTGAAAAGTCAATTTTTTTTGTCGGTTTCGTTTTTTAATCGGTCGGTTTTGGTCGGTTGGTCGGTTTTAATGACTTTTAGAATAGATAAAATCGAGAATCCGACCGCAAAAATTGTGCCAATTTTGGTAAATTCATATCGTTTTCGGTCGATTTAAGCCGGTTTTGCAGGGTTTTGTTGGTCTATTTTTGTTTGACCGGTTTTTAAGCCAAAACTATGAACCGTAAACCGAATAACTGATGGATTAGTCACTTTCGGTCGATTTCGGTTCTATCGGTTTGGTTTTGGTCGGCTTCAGTATTGGTCAGTCGGTTTCGATCGGTTTTTCGGTCGGTTTCGATGGTTTTGTTGTTAAGCTCTACTAGTATATCGTGTCCTGCCTAATCACATCCTAAAGCCTAAGGCCCTGTTTGGTTGGAGGGTTTCGGAGGAAAGGGGAGGGAAGTGAGTGATTTTTGTGTGTTTGGTTGAAGGAAATAGGGGGGAAGGGGAGGAAAGTGGAAGGCTTCCGAAATTCTCCACTTTCTCTCATTCTAAACCCCCCAATTGGGGCATTTCGGAGGAAATGTGTTAATAATCACAAACTATTTATCTCCTACGTGAATGGACGAAACGTTTGATGGATAGTGTAAGAGCAAACAAGTAAGAGAGAGAGAGAGTCAAATATATTAATGAATTCTGATCTGGGATCCTTTACAAGGGGAAAGGAGCTGCTATTTATAGCGGTCATAAATGCTAAGCGCGTACACGTGTCGCTAATCTAACGGCCGAGGGTCACCTCAATCGGGGTGGCACCGGCATTTGCATGTGCACCGCATTAAATGCGGTGGTTGGACGTGACGTCGCATTGAATGCGGTGGTTGTCTGTCTCTAAAAGGAATCTTCGCTGAGTGTGCCGTAGCCGAAGGCCCATCCTGTGGCCAAAAGCTCCGTGTGGCCAAAGGCTACCCATGTGCCGAGGGCGCCTAGGAGCCGAAGGCTCCTATTTTCTGTCGTTTTCTCCCAGTAGCTTCATATGCTCAAATCCAGCTGCCTTGTAAAATTTGGAGCCCTCGACTATAGAGCCGAAGGCACCTATATGTCCACCATGGGCTTCTTAACACTTGGGCCGTTACGTTTGGGCTTTGTGCGCTCATTGGGCGGCCTGTGTAGGAGAAGTAGGAGTCTATGGGCCGGGGGTCCCTGGGCCATATACTCCATCAACGTTATAATATAAAAAGGTAAAAAAAAAAATTAAAAAAATAAAAGATTAAAAAAGTAAAAGATTAATTTTTTTTGGAGGAAGGAGACTTAGATTAAAATCATAGCATTCAGATAGGGGTTAAAATAACAAAAACACCACAAGTAACCATCCGCCCTTAAGGCAGACTCTGAATTAGGGAGTGTTTGCAATTGCTTCAACTTTAAAAAAATTGATTTTTAAAAGTGATTTTGGGAAAAATGATTAATAGTAAAAGTTGGTAGTGTTTGAGAAAAAAGTGATTCTGAAAAAGTAAAAATTGGTAGTGTTTGGTAAAATAAGTATTTTTTTGTAATAGAAAAAGTGAAAAGCAGTTTAAAGCACTCTTCCACCTGCTTCCAGCTTTTAGCTTTTAAGTGATTAATTTAAGCAGAAGCTGTCATTTGAAAACACTTTTTTTTAGCTTTTTTTAAGCCAAAAGCTGAAAAACACTTTTTTAAGCAACCGCAAACACTGCTTTAATCACCTTTGACAAAGCATAACTCGTTGTTCCTAAAATGGGCATAATTGAGCCAATGACGATTACCGCAGAACTCTCATCACCCAATCCTAATGCAAAAATCTTACAGAATCAAATAAAAAACAAAAGTCTCAACGTGCAAAGCACCCCCCGGCTACGTCTACCCCCTGCACAAAAAACCCCGGCCTGCATAGCCCGAACCCCCATCACCACCTTCACCCCCATCACTTTCCTTTTCTTTAGGAATTAACCACGGCCTACCCCCCCCCCCCCCCCCCCCTCCCGGTTACGTCTACGCCCTGCCCTCAGCCAAACACCATATGGCCTAGACAGATCACTACCCCATTCCCCTATATGTGTTGGACAAAAAAAACGGTCAGAATGACCTAATCAGCCACAGATATAACAAAATGTGGGCAACCGCTCGTACCAGAATTTGACCCACACCCATACCTTTCCTCTACACAACTTCATTATTTGCTTCAGGGGATTTGCAATGTCCAACTAGGGGTGGGCACGGTCCGGGACGGAACGGAAATTGGTTTGTCCCGGTCCCGAACCTGTTTTACAATAACGGTTTGGAATGGGACGGGACAAGACGTTGTCCCTTTGTTGTCCCGTTTAAAACCGGTACCGGGACAAAACGGGACGGTTCGGGACATCCCAAAAAATTGTAGTCAAACAATTTCAATCCAAAAACAAAACAAAGCTATTTGAAATTTTTTTAAAAAAACTAGCGCAAGAAAACTCTATGACAAAAAAGCTATAGCTAATATAGAAAATTGTGAGAAAAAAATGCAACTTATCAGATTAGCTGCATGAAACAAAAGTTGCAACAGAAAAAACTATATCACAAAAATCTATCAAGGAATCTATTATAAAATGACAAAGGAATACTTTGAGAGTAAAATCAATTTTTTTTTGTAGATAGATGATAGTTCATATAATATGTGATAGTAGGTAGTTTAGAGTTTTTTAGGTGTTATATTATTAATCAAGTATTTAATAATCATTTGTATTTGGTTGTGAAAAAAGAATAACTATTATTATTGGATTACATAATGAGTTTTTAATAAACTCACTAACCTACTACAAAGTACTGCGTACAATTTTGGATTCGGGACAACGGGACGGAACGGGATATATTTTACTTGTCCCGGTCCCGTTTTGTTTTAGAACGGTTCGGGACCGGTACGGGACAAAAATAATGTATCCCAAATATAACGGGACAATTTCGGGACGGAATCGGAACATTCCAGAACGGACCAACGGGACCAGGTCTTTTGCCCACCCCTATGTCCAACAAGACACGCACACGCATAAAAACTTTTACGGGGCCCTTATAATTATTTTCATCACCGAAACAAAAATGCCCACATAATTGCCAATAAATTCAGCTACATGCGACGTCATCAAGTTCAATGGAATATTGTGTACCTGAATCCAAAAATTTGCCTACGTGAGAGTACACTGATTTGGGCTCTCAAACGACTCCAGCCGCTTCAGAAGAAGTAGGTTACGATTGAACGACCAGTCGACCAGGGGCCGTTATTCAACACCCTACAAAGGTCATATTCGTGATAGAACTGCACCAAAAATTTCTGTCCACCCAAATCTCTCATGGAGACCCCTTTTCTTGGCCTTCAGGCGTTTGCCATCGTCTCCTTTAAGGCGGTAAATTTCACTGGATGATCCGTAAGAATCCGGCCCACCACAATCAACGAATGAACACTCTTTGCCTCCGTCTCGCTTGCTTCTCCAACATCCACGCCCTCATCGTCTTCCTCAGCAAGATGCGATTTAGAATATAGATCCTCAAGTGAAGAAGATGAGTTCGTCATACTTAAACGCTACATGCAAATCGGTAGGAAGAAACGAAAAAATGGCACAACGCCGGCGGCGAAACCCTAAGTTGCGCTAGGGGAGATAACTAATTAAAAGATTAAAAAATTAAAAAGTTAAAAAAATAAAAAATAAAAATTCAAAAAAAAAATATTCAAAAATTAAAAATTCAAAAATGAAAAATTCTAAAATAAAAATTGAAAAAAATAAATAAATTATAAAATCAAAAAGTAAAAAAATCAAAAAATCAAAAAAATATTACTCCCTCCGTTTCTATTTCTTTGACACACTTTCCTTTTTTGGAAGAGTCAAAATTGATGCCACACTTCTCATTTGGTAAATAAAACAGTGTCAAATAGTGCAAAACAGTGCAAAACATTGTTCAAACAGTGTCTGAACAGTGCAAAAAAGTGTCCAAACAGTGTTCAAACAGTAAAATTTACCCCTTAGTAAAAAAAATCTTTAAATGTTGACTTGTCAAACTATGTCAAAGAAATAGAAACGGAAGGAGTATGACTCATGACCTTAGGAGTAATATTTACAACAGTTAGAGATGTATATTTCTTATTTAAGTAAGATATAAAAAAATGTAAATTGGGAAAATATTTTAATGGAAAAATGGACAAGAATAATCCCAACATTTGGTGATCCGCTTGAAATAATCCAACCTAAACCCTAAACCCAAAATAATCCTAACTATTAGAAAACATTCTCAAAATGCTCCGCTGGCTCATACATATTATAAGCAACTTAAGGGTTATTTGAAGTCATTGGAGCATTTTGAGATTTTTTTTCAATAGTTGGGACTATTTTGAGAAAATTAATCATATTTTAATCGACCACTACAAGAAAAAGTATTATTTGCGTCCAAAGTTTTTGCGTCAACATGTGTGGACAAATGTTTAATCTTTTGCGTCAACGGGTGAACGCAAAAAAGCTTATTAAAAACTTTATGAATTTTTTTTCCCGAAAAGCACCGGGTGCTGAGGATAATAGTACTCTGCTTAGAGTTTTCTAAGCGGTAAAAGAAACTAAAATCCTAGCCATTCTTGTGTATCGCTCACTATCGCCGCAAAGAGGAATTTCATCCAAGGGGCGACGGGCTGTCCCCAAGCTATACGGCTCCTGCGAGTCTGCAACAGCGGAATGACGATTGGGAGGATATCACAGGCTTCCACCGGAAAACGCCGAGCACATGGACGTTCGGCGATAGACTTCGTCCATCGCAGGAACACCACCATCGACCAACGATTGGGACAATACTTTTATTTAGGCTGGGAGCCAAGCAGATCAAGCGAGATTCTAATTGCTCTCAAAGAAGACATTTATTGCTCCATCGGAAAAGGCATGAGTTGGCAGCACCTGGTGCACACCTGCGACCCTTGAGCAGATCGGCACACTGAAGCAGGTCAAAGAGATGAGCCATTTTTGGGCGTTCTGCGGCCAGAAGAAGAGCGTCACTACAGGAGCTCAGCCACCACAGGTATCTACTTGAAACTTCAACAATTGACTGATCTGGTACAAAATCAGACTTGTTCTTACCTCCTAATTTTTATCTCCTCAAGTTATCTTCTATGAGTTCATCTATATTTGTTAATTTTCGTTATAGTTACGCTCTCTTAGTTGTGGAAGTAGAGAACTCGCAGCTGCTATGCGCAAAGCTCTTGGATAGGTATCTTAGATCAGGTATTGCATATTTCATGAGTATAGTCTTATAGTATCAGAATGTGCTATTACAAATTTGATTATGGATTGACGATTAAAATACATATATGTGTGCTGCTTTATCAAATTAACTTTTTGCAGTATAATCTCAACCATGGCTCCAAATAGGAGCTGGGCTGCTCGCTTGCTTCGTATAGGTATGTGTCAGTATATTCTATTTCAGTTTCAGAACAACAATTTATTTTGAAGTATATCAAGGTTAGGGTATACTAAGATTAAATACAAAGTAATTTAGACATATATAGCAGTTAGTTGTATATTTTTTTACTCACTAAGAAAAATTCGTACCGGAATTTTTCAATTCAATGCATTTTTTTTCTATTTGTTTAATAAAAAATTGGAAGAGATGTTATGATCAACTGATATTTTACATATTTTTCATTCAAAGAGGCCCTTTTTCATCTGCCTCCTCAGCATGGGTTGAATAAAAAACATCGAAAGTGGCTCCTAGATCTCGTTACATAACGTGTATTGATTGAAGAATAGACAAAAAGGGAAGCATGAATGATTGATTTTGTAAAATGAAATGCAGATAATGGAATATGACAAACTTGTGGTTCACTCTCTATGAATTACTTTACATCCTCATTTTCATACGGGAGCAGATAAAGGGCGCTTCAACTGAGATGGTCGAGTACATTGGTATTAATTGATTATAAATATGTAGCAAATTTACTTACCACTCTCAATAGGTTCCCTTTCCTTCTGCAAATTGTTCTACACCTAACTTTGCTTAGTAGTTCTTTTTCTTGATTACTCATTTTATTTTACTGCCAGACATTGCTATAAACATCCTCTAATGTAACTTCATTTTGATTAATTGGGGCAGACAAATCATCTCAACCATTTGAATGGGGTGCCTTAGATGATATTGTGATGGAAGGAGTAAGTGAAAGCACATTTGTGATAGATCCAATTGGCAGAGATGATGGTAAACCAACAGGGGTTTTCAAAGGTTTGCTTATAGTATAGACTTTTTTTAGTATATAATCTTGAAGTACGTCATGATCTATGGCCAATGTGCATCACTTCGATATATTTTTCTTACTATGTGTGCAGAAAATGTTAGAACCCCAAATAATGGGGGGGGGGGTTGCAAGTACGCGACATAGGTGAAGATCCCTTTCTTACATTTTCTAGCGCTTGGTGCATTTCATTCACTCTTGGTTCTACTCATATTTTAAATTTTACATCTGATGTTCTAAGTTGTGTTCAACCGCTTTTTATATTGTTGGCATGAGTTTAGATGCTTCATCTGAGACCTTGGCATTGCCTCCTGACCCGTCTTTGTTCTCTTGTCAAAGGTTTTCGCTTTACTTACTCTCTTTATTCTTAATAATTCTCATGCATGAACTTTATGTAAATCTGTAATTACTTCAAGTGTTTTTATTTTCTCTATAAAATGTGCTGAGCAGAGAAAACTGAGTGGTTTAACAATACATTTCATAGTGATGTACTTTCATCTTGATCTTAAGGAAAAGCTGAATCTATTTATTAGATGTGACGAAGTGATATGTATATTTGAATTTTTTTATAGATTTTTTTTTGTTTTGAAATAAACATAAGCTGCCTTTACTTATGACGAAAGGTGACTAACTCAATGTTGAATGGTAGAGCAAAATTTCAGAACCATATGGTCATGACGGAAACAATTTAACGCAGGATAGCAGTTGCTATATTATTCTAGTTATTTATTTTACTTCTGTACATGTTTCTAATTCCACCATATGTATTTCTTCTACTTTCAGCTCAGAAAGATACTGGCAGAGTGATGCTTTACACTACATCATTTTTTTACTTGGTTGCTTCCTTGTTCTTGCCATCACCAAATATCAACCAAAGAGAGTAAGAGTGTGTTCAAGATGACTTATCAAATGCTTATTAACAAAATACTTTTAGTGGTTAACTGACAAATCACTTTAACCATGTCAATACAGGTTATAAAGTAGTGATTGTTATAGACACTATCTCTCCATCGCTGCAGTTTAACTGCAGCTCCAAGCAGAAGTTGCTGTTTTAGGAGATTTTCGGTTTCGGTCATGGCCGATGGCAAAAGCACTAGTTACCGGGGCTGGTGGTAGAACCGGTAAGACCTTAACTCTTTTCATTGTATACATAAACTTCTACTATTAGTTACTCTGTATAACACATAAGAAAACTTTTCAATTACTATGTGTGTTTAGTGCATGGATTTGCTGTGACCTACTATGAAGTTTATCTGGCCTCATGATGAATCCATCTATCCAATTTGAGATTTGAAAAGTTAACTTTTTTTAACTCCCAATAGATTATATCAAAAGTGTTCACATCTCATGTAGCTCTATACTCGAATAATTTTTTCCCCTCTCTTATTTCTCTTTTGTGGTGAGTTGATATTGGGTATATCTCTTTTGTAGTGTAACCACACTTGTGTTCATTTTTTGAGCTATGTAGGTGGTACTATTCTATTTATTGATTTATTCCCAAAAGGCCCTAAAGTTCTCTAATTCTGGTTAATGTATGTGATGGAGAAGGGGACTCGATAATTATTTAGTTTACTTCTCTTTTAATAAATTTTAAAAGTTTCTTTTGTACGTGATTAATTTTGAAGTTGATCTTTGTTTCAGGTTGCCTAAGATATCAATTATCATCATAATATTTTGGCATCCCATTTGAAGGTGAATCCGAAGAAAGTTTTGTTGGCTGGTGATTCCTTATTTGTTTTTTCCCATTTACTAGATAATTTGATGTGGCATTGGCAGAATAACATAATGCCTTGCTTTTCAGTTTGATTTATGTCTCTTCCGTGGTGCTCTTCTATTTTTCTCTCCATTATGCAAGGTGATAGAGCATATGGGCCTAGACCCCATGGCCCACATACTCAAGTCAACGATGACCAGAAAAGCATCCACGTGGCCTCTTCGGCCCAGTGGGGTCCGCATCGGCCAGGATCAAACCGGCCCAGGAAGCGCACCTGGACTTCCCGGTCCGCGTCGGCCCGTGGACCGCATCGGCTATGGGACCGCGTCGGCCAGAAGGCACCGCATTGGCCAGACCTCGTCCTGACAGAATACATCTCTCTACTTTATTTACTAAGTATTGTACACAGCCCATTAGTGGCCCTATTTCGCCCAAAGAAGGCATGATTATTGTAATGGGCCTCCTAAGCCCATGGTTAGGAGCCCAAATCCACATTTTTACCTATAAATAGACCCCTTGGGGCTAGTTATAGGGGGTTGAGAAATACAATTACTCACTTTCTCTCTCTAGCTCTCCCTTCTTCTCTAGAATTAATACTCTATCACAAGGTTATTAATCGTTTGAGAACTAACAGCAGAAAATTTTGCTGTCATCCCCCTTAGATTGATAGGTTTTTCACTATATTTGGAGTTTCCGGTGGAACTGTGGAAGTGCTCTAATCCATGGATTTATCCCAAGAAGTATCAAATCCCATCAATTGGTTGTATTTTTTAAATTATAGAAGTTTTACATTTTAATTAGTATAGTGTAGTATGTTATTCACGTTTTGAGCTACTTCAACACATGGTAGTTCACTTTTTCGAATTCCATAGATAGATGATGAATGGTCTTTATTTCAACACATGGTAGTTCATCTTAGTGATTTGATAATTAAATTTATGTATTTTCTGTATTTTAAAGATCTTGTGTTGATTTGTTGAAGATCTTGTGTTGTTGAGTACAGTGTAATTCTGGTAATTATATTTCAAGATATTATTTTTTTTATTTTTTTTAAAATATAAAACCTTTAGCGTCCACATGTGGACGCCAAAGATGTTTTTTTATTTTTCGAATTTCATGACTTTTTGCGTTGACAACGTCGAGTCGTCGACGCAAAAGATAAAATTTATTTGCGTCGACGGAAGTGTACGCTAAAAACCTTTTTGCGTCGAGTCTTTTGCGTCGACCCATTTGCGTCCACATGTTGACGCGAATAAAGTATTTGCGTCGACTTTTGACTTTTTGCGTCGACTTTTTGTCGACGCAAAAAACGCTTTTTCTTGTAGTACGGAAAAGTTTATTTCCTTCAACCAAAAACAAATTTTTATCAAAATCCTTCTTTCTCCTTCCTTTTCCTTCCCTCCTTGACCCTCCCCTTCCCCTTCCTTCCCCTAAGTAGCACGGAAACGGGAAATGTGAGAAACGTAATTTCTAAAATATATAGGACACGAAACGTGGGGGAAACGCGTAAATATTATAAAATATAAGGATATATTTATAAATATTTTTTAATATATGTACACAAGTTTTTCCATATGCACATGTTTTTAATATAATTTGTTTAGTAACCAAATAATAAAATCACTCTATATGTTCGAATTTAGATATTATTTCATGTGAGTACATAATTAAACAAAAAATGTACGGAGTAATACATTTCTAGCAATATATTGCGTTACGAAATGTAACAAGTGTTGCGCTGAGAAATACCACAAAATTCACTATAAAAAATTATTTTCCACCACAGAATCTTTTGGCAAAGAAAAAAATTGGAACATGAGGTTTCCGAAACGTAGTGAAACGGGTTTCCAAATTTTTCATAATTACGGAAACGGCCCTGAAACGGGAATTTAAAGTTTCCGAGTTTCTGAAATGCTTCTGAATTTCCGAAATATGGAAACGTGAGTCATGGAGAATTTACGTGCTTCCTAGTCCTTTCCTCCTTGACCCTCCTCTTCTCCCTCCTTTGAACCAAACAAGGCCTAAAGAACCACATACCTAGTATTAGGACGACATCTGGCTTGCCCTCCTTAATTTCATCCTCGCTTTCAGTGGATTAACACGTGGTGCTTCGGGTCGGACACTACCCCTCCGATTTGCAAAGTCCGCTCTTTTAGATGACTCATTTCCACCAAATTGAACATCTCCTGCAGCAGTAGGAATCCACGCGGGAAGGATTCGCCGAGGAAAGGCCAGACCAATTCTTCATCATCGTCTTCAGCCGTTTAATCACCACTAGTAGGCTGGTAGCTAAGGAGCGAGCTAAACACTCTAATGGAGAATTGCGTTTACAGAGACCCGAGAGCGCCTGCGGAGGCCCGAGTGAAGGACCTCCTCTCCCGCATGACCCTCCAGGAGAAGTTAGGTCAAATGACCCAAATCGAACGCTCCGTCGCCACCCCTTCCGCGCTCACAGACCTCTCAATCGGTAAACACTCGCTCTCACGTTCAATCCTCATCGCCTCAATTGCTTCCACTTTCTCTTACCGCCTCAAATTTCACTCTTTAACTCTGGATTACTGTAGGAAGTGTATTAAGCTTGGGAGGGAGCTGGCCATTTGAGAACGCCGTGTCCGAGGATTGGGCGGAGATGATTGACGGGATGCAGAGACGGGCGTTGGAATCGAGGCTCGGCATTCCGCTGCTGTACGGGGTTGATGCTGTTCATGGAAACAACAATGTCTATGGTGCCACCATTTTCCCTCATAATATTGGCCTCGGAGCTACCAGGTTTACTACATCTTCTCCCATTCTCCGTTTCTGTATGCATGCTTTGAACAACTCTGAATTTGTTTATAAATTGCCTGCAAGTCCGCATCTTTCTGTTAATTTAGAGTGTCAAAATTTGATGTTTCTGCAGAGATGAGGAGTTGGTTCGGAACATTGGGGTTGCCACTGCTCTTGAAGTCCGGGCCAGTGGCAGTCAGTATACCTTTGCTCCCAGCATAGCCGTGAGTTTACCAATGTCCAAGACAAAGCCTAATTTAATGATTGATTGAGTAATTATTCATTAATGATAATGATTATTATTGTTGTTGTTGCTGTTGTTATTATTATTGTGATTATAGCTACTACTTACTAGTACAAAACTACTCCACCCGTGCATTGCACGAGATATAATGTTGAAATATTAAAATATAAATAGGTAAATACACTTATGAATCCACATGTAGATTTAAATTACGAGTCAACACAAGAATGATCAAATAATAAAAATAGAAAAAAAGGACAAATTATTTGTTCAGAGGTATGATTGTAGAATTGTTAATAGTTCAGGGCTTATTTGTCCCTCTTCTCTAAAAAAAATATTTGAAGTTTAATAAGCACATACTACGTACTTAACAAATTATTGAAGGTCTCTTTATCACAATGTTTTTTTCATGTTTTTGGGTTTCCTTTGTACTACGTATATCCTGAACTTTAACTGAGACGTGTTGTCACCCTAGAAACCATATCATACAATGTTTCATGCGTACAAACATAATGGCACTAGAAAACACTCACGGTTTCCAACGATTTTCTTGACATTCGTCGGGGTAAGACTAATTGTGGGGATAAGAAACTGCTCATGTACATCAGTTTTCAACACCACGTCACCACTTGAACCTCAATAATGTGGGCTCCAAATTTTATAATTAAAAGTCGAGTACCATTACATAGTCCAGTTAAATTTAGATTATGATGCTTAATAATTTGGGTATGTAAATCATCTTTCTAAGGTTAATTTTGACTCTTATTTATTTAAGTAAGAATTGAACTAGGGGATGAATCTGTGAACTACATATTTATATTTAAGATTTTTAATGATCGTTATTGTGCATAATTCCTATCCTTATCTATATATTATTACGACTCACATTTTTTAATTATAAGTTCACGTTTCCTTATATTGTGCACAATAATAATAGAAGATGGTGTATATCTAGACTATATGTAATGAAAGAAAACATGGATTAGAGTGAGTAGATAAATTAGGAGACAAAGTAATTATATATACTCCCTTCGTATTTTAATGTTTGCTACACTTTCCTTTTTGGGATGTATTTAAAAGTTTGCTACACTTCCATTTTTGATAAGTTTACCCTTAATAAAAGACTCAACAACCCTTACTTTATCTACCTTTTATCTTCTCTTTTATACTTTTACACTCTTTCTCCTACTTTTTCTACACTATTCACTACCCCTACCACTTTACTTCTTAAATAATGTGCCAAACCAAATGTAGTGAACATTAAAAACGGAGGGAGTATTGACTATCTTTTATTAGGATTCGTCATGGTCAGAATAGTAGCTTTTAATTATATGAGTTAATTGAATGTTCTAGTAGCTTCCATGGCTTATGCGAATTTGGAAAACTAGTCATGGCCAGAATATTTCTAGTTGGGAATGGTACCGAAATAGAGTCCGGGAAGATAGAAAGTGTAAGGGTTTGTTTGGAACCCCAAAATACTAGTTAAAGCAAACATGATGGGAAGAAAATGAGGGGGGAATAAAAGATGGGTTCAAATTCAATAAACTTATTTTTAGATATTTGTTAATAATCATTTTATTTATCTTATACATAGCATCAATTCTATAATGACTGAGAAATCAAAATATATTCTAAATTTAAAGTGTAATCATAAAGTTTTTGTTTGTATTTTCCGAGATAAAACCAAACATATGAAATAATGGATCAAGAGACTCAAGATATACGACCATTGGTTAAATTTCTTTGCTATTCTGTTTCTCTCACTATTTTGGGGTAAATCGTAAATGTTAAATCACTACATGCATCTTTTCCCTACCCTCTCATTTAAATTTGAGATATGTCCCTGGCTTTTCATTTCATGAGTTGAAACAGGTGTGTAAAGATCCCAGATGGGGAAGATGTTATGAGAGTTTCAGTGAAAACACTGAGATTGTTAGGAAGATGTCATCCATCGTTACTGGATTACAGGGACAACCACCACCTGGGCACCCATTTGGATATCCCTTTCTAGCAGGACGGTAGCCATAACCATCGCCCTATGAATCACCATGAAATGAATTATTTGTATCAATCTTATCATTTTCCTTTTTTCCATCATTTGCAATGGAGCCAAAGATTCACTATTCTTTGGCCTGAGAATATGATGGAATAAAGCAAAATGGCTCACTAAACTGTCTGTGCTTCTTTGTTATGAAGCAGCAGTCAGTTCATTCAATTTTATAAAGCACATTTTATAAAGCACAGGGGTAAGACTGGTAAGACTGCGTACATCCGACCCCTCCTTACCCCACCATAGGTGAGAGCCTTTGTGGCGTTGGGGTGATGATGATGATGATGAATCTTATCATTTTCCTCTATTGTCATGACTTGTTGGAACTGTCTTTTACTTTTAGTTTAATGTGTAATTATTACTCTTTGAATCATACTACGTATTTATTTGTACAATAGATAGTTTAAATTTATATTAAGATAAACCAATAAAACAGAAATTAATTCCAAAGTATTGTGAAGACTCCTTTTAGTAGATTTATCCAATTTATTTACATGAACTTCAGATTAACCTTAAAGTCCATTTGGAACACAGGAAACACCAGTGAAAGAAAATAGTATTAGTATGGAAAATAGACATAATAAATTAAAGTTAAGCTCAGACTCGTTACATTTACACATGATATTTGCTCAAACTCATTTTTATTTTATTTTAAAGATTAAGAAATCTAAAAATATACAATTTTTAAATTCATTAATCACATTTCATTCCCCCTTTTTATTTTCTTATGTAAAACCTGACATAAGGATATAACTTCCTTCAAAGTTTCTCCTGTTCCCTAGTATCTTCCATGACCCCAAGCTGTCTTGTGGTTTGCTCCATCTCCATGGATATTGAATCTCATGGATTTATCTTATTTCAACTAACTTATGTAGTTTTATGGTAGGGACAATGTGATCGCCTGTGCTAAGCATTTCGTTGGAGATGGGGGCACTCATGAAGGTATCAATGAGGGGAATACCATATCATCATATGAGGAGTTGGAGAGTATTCATTTGGCTCCTTATCTTGACTGTATTTCCCAGGGAGTTTGCACTATTATGGCATCCTACACCAGCTGGAATGGGATCCAAATGCACAGAAATAAATTTCTCCTTACAGATGTGTTGAAGGATAAACTGGGGTTCAAGGTATAACTAATGAGTTAATGACCATTTCAATCTTTGTTACATGTTTGTGCATTTAGTTAGGCAAATCTTTCATATGGCTTGTGAAGTTGTGAGTGATAAACTACTCACATTCACCAAGCATGAAGCATGTGACCTTTCTTAGATAAAATGGTATGCCATATGGTGCACTTTTATACTCATCTGGTTGTTTGGTTGGAGGATTCTGGATGGGATGGAGGGGGGGGGAGATATATTATTTTATTAATTTATGGGAGAACTACCAAATAACCCCTCAAACTTATATAAAAAGTGCAAATCACCCCTTTTATAGGAGGCTCTGTCCGGCCGTCGTCAATGGAGTTATTTAATGAATTTTTTTGAACATCTTATTCATTAAGTCTGGTTTACTTATACCAAATTTCAGCTAAAAATTCAATCGGGAAGGCAGTCAAATGAATTTTTGAAGATAACTGCGCAGTTAAACAGTGCAGTATATTTCAAAAAATCATTTGACTGCCTTCCCGGTTGAAGTTTTAGCTAAAATTTGGTATGAGTAAACTAGACTTAATGAAGAAGATGCTAAAAAAATTTCATCAAATAATCCCACCGGAAACCGTCCCAAATGGCGACGGCAGGACATAGCCTTCTATAAAAGGGGTGATTTGCACTTTTTATGTAAGTTCGAGGGCTTATTTGGTAGTTCTCCCTTAATTTATTAGATGGTTGAAAAGATAGTGTACATAAAATACAGAATTATATTAACTCCAAAATAATTGCTAAACAAACAAGCCATGAGAGCGCACAATAACAACCAGAATAGAAATTTATAATTTATATGATCTTGTTTGAGATGGCATTGCCAGGGCTGATTGAAATATGGTCCTGTTACATCCGGAGGCTGGAGCTAAGAATCTTTTTTCTCACTTCATTAATATTACCATTAATTATTTAATGGTAATGGCTTGTTGTGTTAGAACTTAGAAGATAGATGTAAATTGTTTTGTTTTGCTTTATTGTTTTTGTTTTGTTTTGTAGGGCTTCATCATAACTGATTGTGCAGCACTCGACAGACTCTCTAATCCTTTTGGATCAAATTATCGGCAGTGTGTTCTAGCAGCCATTAGTGCTGGAATTGATATGGTATCTTAATTTTATATTGATTTCCAACCTTGTATTTTCAAATGTTAAGTAATTACCCTTTGAGGTTTTATTACTCTCTTAATTTCCTATTATACAATATTATGGAATAATGGCTTACCCCATTAGGGTGCCCTGATGGTATATTTATACTAAACAGAGAAAATAAGAGAATTACAAATATGTCCCGATATTTCTATCTATTACACCCCCTCAATCTGTGCAGGGGAAACAATGCGCAGATTGGAGCGTAAAAATTCAAAACGCTGACTAGAAAGGTTCTTAGTAAAAGTATTAGCTAATTGTAGTTGAGTAGGAACATATTTGACAACAAGGTCTCCATGAGCAACACGTTCACGAACAAAGTGATAATCAATCTTAATGTGTTTGCTACGGTCATGTTGAATGGGATTTACTGCCAGATACGATGCAGAGACATTATTACAGTGTAGTTGGACATGAGAAGTAATGTGGAGACCCATCTCGGCCATCAGAAATCGAATGAACAATGTATCCTGAACGATATATGTTATTGCTCTATATTCCGCTTCAGTAGAGGATTTAGAGACCGTAGGTTGCTTCTTTGACCGCCATGAAATTAAATTTGGCCCCCAAAAAATAGCATAGCCATTGGTGGAGCGACTACTATCCGGGCAGCCATCCCAATCCGCATCTGAATAGGCAATAATAAGAGAAATATCGCGGTTGGACTGGAGCCATAACCCGTAGTCCAGGGTGCCCTGTAAGTACCTGTAAATACGCTTCACAGCCAAGAGGTGAGTAGTACGAGGCGCATGCATAAACTTAGAAACCAAGTGTACAACATAAGTAATATCGGGTCTAGTCAAAATCAAGTCCTGTAAAGCACCTACCATACTGCGATACTCAATAGCATCAGTGAGAAGTTCCCCATCTGTAAGAGAAAGTGTCGTACGAGAAGGCAGGGGAGTACGGACAGGTTTGACAGTATGAAGATGAAAACGAGGTAATAAGTCAGATATGGAGAAATAAACACACCGTGAGATGTGCGTTTAGTCTGAAGACCCTGAAAAAAATGAATATCCCCCAAATCCTTCATGGCAAACTAAGTAGAGAGAGACTGAATAATGGACTTGACAAGATCGACTGATGACCCAGTAATTAAAATATCATCCACATAAAGGAGAATATAAACTACCTGTGAGTGAGTGCGGAAAACAAACATACAGGAGTCAGACTTACTCTGTAAAAATCCCCGGGATAACAAAAAACCATTAAAATAGTGAAACAAAGCTCGAGGAGCTTGTTTGAGACCATAAAGAGCCTTTTTAAGACGACATACATGATGAGGAAAAGATGGGTGAACAAAACCGGGGGGTTGACGCATGAAAACCTCTTCTGTAAGATGACCATGAAGAAAAGCATTCTTTACGTCTAATTGACGTATGCACCACTCACAAGCAACCGCAACAGACAAAATAAAACGAACAGTAGTATGTTTACCAACTGGACTAAAAGATTCAGTAAAATCTATGCCAGCCTGTTGCTTAAATCCTTGGGAAACTAGACGTGCCTTGTGTCGCTCAATGGACCCATCATAATTAAATTTAGTTTTGTAAACCCACTTACAGCCAACTATATTTTTCGTGCTATCCCAAGGTACCAAATCCCATGTCTTATTAGCAATTAAAGCATTAAATTCATCAGGCATGGCCGCTCGCCGAACAGGAAATTTTTGAGCTTGTGAAAAACAAGTAGGATCATCAGGGGGCGAGAAAGCACTTAAGTTAAAATTGATTTAGGCTTAAAAATACCATCTTTTGCACGAGTACGCATGGGATGGTAAAGGAGAGGAAGTAGACGGAGTGGTAGGTGTTGTAGGTGTGTCGGTCTGTGGAGATGGACCGGGACTAGAATAGGTTTTCACAGGGATGATAGGAACTAGAGAAAGGTGTTCGGCTGAGGGAGTTGGCAGGTCTAGTGATGATCTGGATGATGACTGAGTGTCTGCATGAGTTGGAGGCATGAGTTGGAGGCTCTGGTGGACTGGCCGAGGGAATCAGGGAGGTCGGGTGGGTTAATGATGAAGCAGGTGGGCTGGTTGGAGGCAGGGAAAGAACCTGCTGTGTAGGTGTAGGTCGGGGGGACGGCCAAACAAAAGGAAGGGGAGGAGATAAGGCAGTTGACGGGGAAATATGTGCTGAAAGTTTAGAAAAGGGAAATTCAGTTTCATGAAATAAAACATCCCGACTAATATACACCCGTCCTGAAAAAGGTTCTAAGCAACGATAACCCTTGTACCCCAGAGCATATTCAATAAAGACACAACAAGTGGAGCGAGGTGACAATTTATTTGAAGACTTGGCAATAAAATTCGGAAAACACTCACATCCAAAAACATATAAAAAACTAAAGTCCGGAGGTTTGTTAAAAAGCTTCTCAAAAGGTGTGAAATTATTCAAAAGTGGCGTTGGTAAGCGATTGACAATATAGACAGCCGTATATAGAGCATCAACCCAAAAAGAAGGCGGAACAGATGCCTCAATTAACATGGTTCTAGTTAATTCGAGAAGATGTCGATGCTTGCGTTCCGCAACTCCATTTTGAACCGGAGTATCTGGACAAGATTTTCTAAATAAAATACCAGATTTCAGAAAATGATTATTAAAAATAATAGGGAAAAGTACAGAAAACGTACCTCTGGTTTGGGCCATTTTCAGATAGGGGCATGCGTTTCATTTTCTAACAAAGTCGGGCATGTGTTTCAATTCCGTTACTATAGCAGGGGGTATGGCGTCTAACGCCGTTAGAAAATATAACTCCGATTTTAAAAAGTCTCCGAAAAATTAAAAGAAAAATACTGGGAGGTGCGCCTCGTCAAGGAGATCAACAAACTATCTTTCTCTTTGGATTTTTCGGCTCTATTTGAATTATTTTTTAAAAACAAAGTCGCTAATATCAATTTTCTGATGGACTTTCTGGAGATATGGTGGCTGGTAACAAAAAAATAAAGATAGTTTGTTGATCTCCCTGACGAGGCGCATCCCCCAGTATTTTTCTTTTAATTTTTCGGAGACTTTAAAACCGGGGTTAATTTTTCTAACGGCGTTAGACGCCATGCCCCTTCTATGATAACAGAATTGAAACACATGCCCCACTTTCTTAGAAAATGAAACACATGCCCCTATCTGAAAATGGCCCGAACCACAAGTACGTTTTCTGTACTTTTCCCAAAATAATATTGTCAAATTCACCACCACCATCACTTTGAAAAATTTTAATTTTCCTATAAAAAAGATTTTGAACAAGTAACTGAAAATTACAAAAGTGAGTAAAAACCTCAGACTTACGTCACATAGGATAAACCCAAGTATAGCGAGAAAAATCATTAATAAATGAAACATAATATTTACCTCCTAAATTAGAAATAACTAGCGACTGCCAAACATCTAAATGAATAAGTTGCAGAGGTGCAGTGCAAGAATGAAGAACATCATGAAATGGTAGTCTGTGGGATTTACCCAACTTACAAGAAACACAATTGTGACTAAAATTACTAGATACGGAAATAAAATTATTTTGTCAAAGACGTTGTAAAACTTTATCACCACGGTGCCTCAAACGCTTGTGCCAGGTAGGTCCAGAGATAAGAGTGACTTGAAAGGCACGAAACGGGTATAGATGGTCTTTATTGGAAGCCTGAAGAAGATGCGCCCCCGTTTGATTGTCCTTTATAGAAAAAGAATTTTTATCAAAAATCACCGTACAATCATTATCCGCACATAGCTTATGTATAGATGATAAATTATATTTTAAGTGCAGAACATGATAAACGGAGTTTAAAACAAGTGAGCGACCAGGTGTGACAAGTTTAACACTACCAATATGTGAGATGGGTAATTTAGTACCATTAGCAACTTGCACAGAATTAGAGCCAGTGTAAGGGATTTTACTAGACAAAATATCTTCATGAGGGGTCATGTGAGCTGATGCCCCTGAATCAGGATACCACACAACAGCGTTAGCAGCGTTTGCTTCACCTGAAGGAAGAGCAGCAAGAGTAGGCGCAAAAGGACCAACAAAACGAGGACAAGTGAGTGCGGAGTGACTTGGGGAGAAACATATTTGGCAGACAGACAACTGGAGGTGATAGAAAATTATTATTATCCCCAGATGGAAAACCTGCACTAACAGTATGAGTACCTCAAGTATAGAGATAATTAAAGTACGAATTACCAGACAAATCATTACTCAATGCCATACCTTGATGTCCAGCAGTAGCTTGCACTCGAGCTTGACCAAACGGAACCTGCCCAGAGGAGGCGGTAGTGGAAGAATAGATGGCTGTTGCTGTGCACCGTAGCCCTGCTGCTGCTACACTCCATACCTCTGCGGCTGCTGCACTGCATAACCTGGTTGCTGCAGACCTCCATAACCACGGCCATGTCCTCGTTGACCGCGACCTCTACCACCACGGTAACCACGACCGCCTGGATAACGCCCACCTTGGCTTCGAGCTGCACCCCCTCTGTTGGGAGCCGTGACAAACGCCTGGGAGGTTGGGGCAGTTCTTGAGCTCCAAAGTATAGATTGCGTTGTTCTTGAGCAACCAAAATCGGACGCAGCTTTGCAAGAGTAGAGTCCTCCGGGAAATAATTCATAATAGTAAGTAGGGACTCGTACTTAGGACCCAAACCCATAATGATGTATTCAATGAGGTCCTTGTTACTAACAGGAGAATTAATGACATTCAAAGCATCAACCACAAGCTTAATTTCCAAAAGATACTGATCAATGGTCTGGGATTCCTTCTTTTTAATATGAGAAAGTTGTCGCTTAAGCTCCATAGAGCAAGCTCTACATGCATTCATAAAGCGAGTTTCAAGAGATTCCCAGATATTAGCAGAAAATTTTATATTATAGTCTTCCATTAAAACATCCCGAGACAAGGTAGCAAATAGCCAGGAACGCACGATTTGATCAATTTTAAGCCGGTGAGTATATTCATAATTAGGAATTTCTCACCGAGAAAAATCATGCGTGACTTGTGACGGAGCCAAAATTGAGCCATCTAGAATCCCAAGAAGACCATGAGAAACAAGAAAAGACTCAAATTGGGTCCGCCAAGGGAGATAATCCTCGACTGCATTAAGTCGGGTGGTCACAATGTTCGTAACATTGGGTGTAGAAAAACCCAGTTGGGCAGCAAGAGAAGCCAAAAACGATGAATTAGGAGTAAAACCTGGAAGATGGCCAGCTGACTGATGCGGTAGCGGAGCAATACCTGGCTGTCCAGAAAAGGTTGAACCGGAGAAAAGAGGTGGGGGAGGAAACCTCTGGTCCAAAACCGAGCTACTGCCAGGAAGAGTTGCTGACGAAGAGGCCGCTATTGTACCGGTTGGAGTCCAAGAAAAGGGCTCTGGCATTTGGAATAACCGGTAAGAGGACAGAGGTGGCGGCTGATTAGGAGGGCCTGGCGAGAGTCTGTGCGGAGTAGTGCTGGGCGAGGCCTGCGAAGAGGAAGAAAAAGCCATCGCCATGGAGCCTGATGCGGGTATTGATGAAGAAGGCTGCTCAGTATAAACCGGCGCTGTAGGAACGAGGGTGGACGATTGAATAGAAGACATGGCCACCGTGGAATTTGCGGAATACGAGGCCATCGAGAAGAGAAAAATGGCGGCTAGGTACTAGGTATAACCTAGGCTGCTGATACCATATACAATATTATGGAATAATGGCTTACCCCATTAGGGTGCCCTGATGGTATATTTATACTAAACAGAGAAAATAAGAGAATTACAAATATGTCCCGATATTTCTATCTATCACCTATTTCATCCATATATATCTCATTTGAATGTCAAATCTAATATTTTCTTCAAATATTCAAACTTAAGATATCCCCTTATCCCACCATAGGTAGGAGCCTTTGCGACACTGGGGTGATGATGATGATGATGATTCAAACTTAAGAGATTCCTCCTAAGCTATGGTTGTTGCTCGTTATTCATCTGCCTAAGAATGTCTTTTTGAGTAGCAAAGGCGGATGTATACTGATTGGTATGATGAAGGAGAAGTGGTTTGCCAATTATGAGAGCACGATTTAGAGAACTTCTTTTAGATTTGACAATTAAATGGAGTCAAATAACATAAATATCAACAGAAGGGAGAAGTTGCGAGAGTAATAAAAGCTTAAAGAGTAACTAATTGATTTTTGAAAGCACAAGTTTAGATGTAATTATGACCTAACCAAAAAGTGGTAACAGTAATTTTCCCTTTTATCTATATTTAAGTGTCAAAAACAATTTAAGCATGTTAGGTTTTGTGAAACCAACAAAAAAAATAAAGAATGACTGGAATTAATGATCTCTGGTAGTTGTACATATGTACCTGACTTAAATTAAAACATCGACCTTGGTGGAAGTGTGTAACATGATTTCTTTGGTAAAATTGTTAGCTTTGACGATTTCCAGTAGTTGTACCTTAACTAATGTTTCGTAATCCAAACAGTACATTAATTAATTAAGTTACAGGTGATGGTACCAATGCGTTATGAACTATATCTCAATGATCTAAGTATGCTGGTTGAATCTGGGGAGATACCAATGTCAAGAATTGATGATGCCGTTGAACGGATTCTTAGGGTGAAGTTTGTAGCTGGACTTTTTGAGTACCCACTGAGCAATAGGTTACTGTTGGATAAAGTTGGTTGTAAAGTAAGCCTAGAACACATCCCTCTCCTTAATACAGTAACAGTAAATTGACTTCTATATGTTGCTAGTCTGCTACTACTCAGCTGGACCCGCGAGTTTGTGATTGAGAATCTGTGTTGTTTACTTCTATCTGTTGAAAATTTTCCACTTCCGGACCCAACTCTATTAGTTTCTTCTCACTTTTGGTCTCCACTTTTTCCCCCACTTATGGTGCACAACTATGGATTCCTGGCCACCGTTTGGTCCTTTTGACCACTTACCTGACAATTTTTTTACAATGTCCCGTTGAGTTTTGGCAAACAAGTGTCAGGAAAGGACAGAAAGCTACAAGAAATCCATAGCTGTGTACTAAATCAGAAAAAAAAAGTTGGGAACCAAAAGTGACATTAACCTAACAGTAATGGCTTGGTAACTTGAAAATTTTCATTTGCTGTTATATAGGCAACCTCCAGTCTTATATAGTTACAGGGTAATGAGGGGATGTTATTATGAACACATTAGTTTTTTTAAATGTGGTTGACTAATTGTAGTAAACTTTGCGATACCTTATTGTACATGTCCAACCAGCACCTCTGTTCCATATTAGAAAAATTTGGAAAACATCAAGGGCAACATGTGAACATTTTGACAGAGTTTATTTGTGATGATTGTTTCAGCTGCACCGAGAACTTGCACGTGAAGCAGTTCGCAAGTCTTTGGTTCTTCTAAAGAATGGGAAGGATACTGTAAAACCGTTCCTTCCGTTGGACAAGAACGCCAAATGCATTCTTGTTGCCGGACAACATGCAGATGATCTTGGGTTCCAGTGTGGAGGGTGGACTAAAACTTGGGATGGGCGAAGTGGCAGAATTACTATTGGTAAAATAATACTGTGTGTCATAATGGTTCACAAAAGAAAACCTTTTTAGCCCCCTTTACCCGGGTTTGAAATTTCATGGAGGCATTTCAGCCCCCTTTTCCCGGGTCTCCCTTGCCCCGACCCCCTTTGGGCAAAAGTGTCGGTGAAATACTTTTTGGAACATCCAAATAAGGAAGTGGGGAATTATTTTTGAGATAAAGATAGCATATTTGATTTTTTGTAAAATACATAACATTGACTTGACTATATCCACCATTTGCGATGGAGCCAAAGACTCGCTATTTTTTGGCTTGGGAATATGATGGGGTAAAGCAAAATGGCTTATGAAACAGTCAGTCCATGCAATTTTCAACATGATTTTGACTATGGGTCATCCGGAAAGAGTCTCTCCCTGCTTTAGTACAGGGATAAAACTGCGTACATCCGACCCCCCTTACCCCACCGAAGGCGTGGGAGCCATTGCGGCACTGATCAATGATGATGATGACATAACATTGACTTAACTCTCTTATATAACAGTGAAGAAGAATTCATGAGATCGTTTATTCTAGGCACAACCATTCTGGATGCCATAAAAGCGGCTGTCGGAGAGGAAACAGAATTGGTATATGAGCAAAACCCATCTCCAGCCACCTTTTCAAACCGAAGCTTCTCTTTTTCCATAGTAGTCGTCGGGGAGCCTCCCTATTGTGAATCTGGCGGTGACAGCAAAGACCTAATCATTCCATCAAATGGTTCAGAATTGATAAGCTTTGTGGCTGAGAGAGTTCCCACGTTGGCTATTCTCATCTCCGGGAGGCCAATGTATGTAGAGACTAGGGTTTGGGAGAGAGTAGAAGGGTTTATAGCTGCTTGGCTGCCCGGCAGTGAAGGCGCAGGAGTGACAGATCTCATCTTTGGGGATCACGAGTTCAAAGGACGTTTACCGATGAGTTGGTTTAGAAGCGTTGATCAACTGCCTATGAATCCCACCAACACATCTTATGATCCTTTGTTCCCGATTGGGTTCGGGTTGACTACTAAGAATCATTTGGTGCTGTAGAAGTGCAGGGTGTGGAAAACATCTATCTCTGTTTGGGGGGTCTGGATAAGCTTCCTAATGTATGAAGTTATGAATTTATGAACCTCTTTAATGTATACTGCTATAGCTTTCATGGAGTAAGGTCCTGTTCAGTTGACCTTATTTGAGACTCAAGTGACATGTTATTCCATTCTATGTAACATTTACCCATTTGGTAGCATTTTGTGATGCTTTGTTCCCTTTTTAATTAAATTACAAGAAACATTCAATTCATGTCATACCTAAAAGATTCATCTCATATCACATTTAATTATTTAGGAATGTTCGATTGACTTGTTTCAGTCCCAAAACAAATCAACTGAGTTCATCATATTACATCAGAACATATAGACACATATACTAGAATAATAATAAGAGTGAATTACAGACAAAAAGTGGCCAGACAACACATATCCTACATCTTTTAAATTCCCCCAGTAGGACTATTTATGTGTGTTTGGACAAATATATCCTTGTAGCTTTTGAAATGTCTTAATTAATAATAAAATCATAAAAAAAATAATAAAAACGTAAAAAAATAATAATAAATGTAAAAAAAATAATAAAAAATTTATATAATATTTATAAAATAAAAAAATAATTGTAATAAAATAAAACACTTATAAAAATAAAAACGCAAAAAAAATGCCGCCACCTTTGCCACCATCAGCTCCCACCATTGATTACAAATTTGCCAACATTTTTAGTAATGTCATAATAATGAAGAGTAATAATGTCATTTTCATGGCATTTTCAGAAAAAATTGGCAATTTTTACTCAAAGTGGCAAAATTTTCACCGATCGGAGGAGGTGGTGCTGAGAGACAGTGGGAAAGGTATCCTTTTTATGGGTTTTTATTGTTTTTTATTAATTTTTTTTAAATCAAAAAAAATATTTTTTAATTATTTATTTTATACATATTTTATGCATATGTTATACATATTTTATTATTTTTTTCCGATTTTTAAAAATTGTTTATGATTTTTTATTATTTTTTAAGATTTTATTATGAATTAAAGCATTTGATTATGAACTAATACCCTCAGGGGTATTTATGATAGAAATCAATGTTTAGTCCTATTCAGGGGTTAAAATTTAGTAATCCTATTTGTGCATTTTAGAGAATTTTTGGTCCTACCAAGAACAATTTCTAATAATAATAATAATTGTTCTAAAAGGCGCTAGGCACTAATCGGGCGCGAGCCCAGCACCTAGGCGGGCGCCTAGGCGGAGACATAAAAATTGCATTTTTATCTATATTTTTGTATACATAAGATAACTAATATTGTATTTTTGTGTGTATAAAATACATATATACACATACATTAACAACATGAATGATGAGGTACATACCTATAATAACTAATATTGTATTATTGCGTGTATAAAATACATATATACACATACATTAACAAACATGAATTATCACATTTAATCACACGTAGTACTACATCTGTCCCACTAACATTAGGACATGAGGAGGTGACACCGTTATTAGGAAAAATAAGTTTGTGTGATTGATATTGAATTGATAAAGTAAAAATAAAATAAGAATGATATAAAACCACACAAATTTTACCACGTTTGGTATGAGACAATTTTAGTGGGACTTTCGGAAAAAGAAAAATCGTACAATCATAGCGGGATGAAGGAAATATATGATAACTAATCACATAATTTCATTATGTTATAAATATAAATAATAATAATATTTAGTTATATATACAAACATATATAGTCTTTATTTCTTTATTTCTTTATATATTTCTTTATTTCTTTATATTTAGTTATTTTTTTATTTCGTTATTTCTTTATTTCTTTATATAGTATTTAAAATATTTATATCGCTTAGAAAAGTCAAATTAAAAAGTAAGGTAATGTTTGGCGAATCTAGACGGCCTAGGCGGTTGGTTAGACGCTCTGGTCGGGCAACTAGGCGTCATAGGCGGCCGACTATACACCTAGACGGCAAACCAATTAGTCGGAGCGCCTAGACGAAAATTAGGACGTCCAACCACCGCATAACGCCTAGTCGGGGACTAGTCGGACGCCTAGAACAATTTTCAGAACAGAGATAATAATACATGATAATTATGACTCTTATAATTAAAAGTATTAATAATAAAACTATTACCATCATTAAAAAAACTAAACCAGACTACACGGGTCCACTGGACCTGGGACCTAGACTAATCCAATTGTTGTCAATCATCTACACATAAACCTGCAATTACCTGGTACCCGTTGTGACAAAGTATGGACGTGTAACCACTCAAACCCGGAAAACCAATAAAATATAGGAAAAATTGACAAAAAAAAAATTCACCTTTCGCTGGTCTTCTCATAATAATCCCATCTTTAGGTAATCCCAGAATAATCTCACTTTTGCACCCCATCTTCTTTCATTGGACCCTGACCATGTTTGTTACTCTTTTTTTGAAAATCATATAAATAATCTTACCTTTCACTTTTCTATTATATCTTTATAAATGTGAGATTATTTATATAAAATTTTCAAAGAAAGGTAAAAAACTTGATCAGGGTCCAATGAAAGAAGATGGAGTGCAAAGGTGGGATTATTTTGGGATTATGTAAAGGTAGGATTATTATGAGAAGACCAGTGAAAGGTGAAATTATTCTTGTCAAACCACTTATGAGGGTGGATGGTGAAAGGGGTAGCAGGATGGTAGGGAATAGAAGTGTGAAACCACTTATGAGGGTGGATGGCCTCCAACATAGAAATAATAGAAGGAAAAGAGACTAGATTTAGATAGGAGAAGTGTCAAATATCAGGCCTCCCTCCTCTAGCATTCACGGTTCAAAATATGCAAATACATTCCAATAATTCTAACTGCCAGCCACTTACCAGTAAACCCACTAACATAAATGCAGAAAAACTATAATTAAATAAAGAGGAACTAGTAACTATTATTTATAATGCCCAGATGATAGGAGTCTTCAGTTGCAACTGTAATCATGTAGCTTTAGTGGAGCAACTCGGATCCTTTTTCCCCTTTATCGCCATTTGCAGTAGTAGTGGAGTTGACCTTCGTAACATTACTCGCCTCATCGAAAACAACCTTGTCCTCAAGGCGAATGTGTGGAAACGAGCGGTGGAAGGGTTCCAAAAGCTCCCAGGTGGCTTCAGCCGGAGAAGTGTGATCCCAGTGAACCAAAACTAGTCGTACCTTCTTTTTATTGTGTTTTATGATAGGTTGTGACGTGCACTTTGTCGTAGTGTGCACTCAAAATAATAATCAATACGACACTAATACGTAGTATAGTGTAGTAAGATTCGTATCCACAGGGAAAGGAACACTTCTCTTTTTATAAAACTAGAAATAAGTAACAAGGGGGGGTTTTATGATTGGTTGATGAACTTAAATTATATTTAAGCACGAAGATAAATGACTTATGTGATTTAATTAATGAGAAGGAGACTTGGTTTTGCTTTTATCCACTTAATGAAATGTTCGTCGATCCCGGTTATATCTTTAACTATCTTCCTCTCGAATACTCAATCGAGGAGTATATCCAGTTCATCGAGGGTAGTTATTAATAACGAGACACGTTCATTAATAAAACTTACTACCGAGTCAATATAGAACACGCGCCGTATATTAACCCGATAGTAGCAATAAAATGAAGATGAAAACGATTGAGATTGATAACCTCAACACAAGCCGTTTATTGGTTTAATCAACATAATTAATTCCTCTCGGTTTATTAACCATGAAACGCGTGCATTAATAACTCAAGTTTACTACCGTGAAACGATTGAACGATTAACAAGCGTATTCGTCGATCGATTCTAGTAATAATTAATATATGAAACAAAACTAGTTGATCCTTTAAGTAATGTTCAAAATATTAATATGAAATATGAATAGGAATTAATTAATAATCAAGGAAGAATATTAAAGAAGATGAATCTTACTATAGTTAATATCAAGATGTTAACTAATTGTCATCTTAGTAACACTCCTCAATATTAACAGAGGAAGAAATAACTATTACTATAACTAATGTCAAGATGTTAACTAATTGTCATCTTAGTAACACTCCCCAACATTGATATAGAAATAGTATTTAAAGGAAGAATTAATATTCAAGGAAGAAGATTAAAGAAAATAACTCACAACTTACAAATTCATTAAGCTTCAAAGTAGCAAAATCAAGATATGGAAGTTTAGCTCCTCATTTGGAGACTAAACATGATAAAAATATAAAGAAAGTACTTAACTAAACTGAGCTTAGAAGTGTATAGGAATTGGTGATTCTAATGGGAAGGAAATGGAGTGTATTTATAGGTGTTTGGGGCATGCAGGGATGTGTACCCGATCGGGCTTTCAGCTCACTCGATCGGGTACACCATGTAGCTTCCTCGAAGCTGGAAAATAGGGTCATACCCGACCGGGTCTGTCGGTCACCCGATCGGGTATGACACCCGAACGTGTTAAAAATCTTTCAGCATGGTACCCGACCGGGCATAGGTCATACCCGACCGGGTACAGACCAAAAACGAGATCTTCACTTTTTGTCTTGCATTTTTGCACCAACCTTCCACTTTTGGGGTTCACCAATGGTCCTTTGAATGATCTTGGACCTGTTTGAGCTCAGAATAAACCTAATCTAAACAAATTACAAACATTTTTACAAACTAAACTATTACACCAAAAGTGTGTAATTTCCAAAGTAACAATCAATCTAAACTAATTAAAAACACAAACATAAACATGGAAATTACATGGATGTCAACTCCCCCACACTTAGTTTCTTTACACGACCTCGAGTAAAACCAAATGTTTACACAATGTTCATCAAAAGATCATAAGTTCAAAGATAGTAAGAAATAAGAAACTAAGACCACCAAGTACTGTAAATGAGTTTACAAAACAACATTTCCTTGGGTTTAAGGGTCTTCTATGTTCCTTACTTCTTCTTTTCTTCTTCTTCTTTTCATCATCATCTTCTTCTCCAAGAGATAATGTTCTGCAAAAAACAAAAATTCCACATAATTGATCTGCTGTCGGTGGTTGTGTAATTTCCAAAGTAACAATCAATCTAAACTAATTAAAAACACTCACATAAACATGGAAATTACATGAATGTCACGTTGATCCAGCACTTGTAAAGGAATAGGAAATTGATCTGCTGTCGGTGGTTGTGCGATTTTATTATTCACTTCTAACTACCATGTGAGTGACAATTCTATTCATTGTCACAATATTGAC